CGATACAGCCCGGGATCAGATATTTGGGAAAAGTGGATATCTGTACTGCATTTGCGTTCAGAGTATTTTAGCAGATTGGCGACAAATCATTTACGTTGATTTTGATTTGATTTATTCCACTGACCTATTGCTGGCACTGATCAATGAGCTGCACGACGTAGGTTTCAACGTAGTGGGAGTAAGCGGAACGTGTGACCAAGAGACAACAGATCTGTGGACGGAATTTGACGTATCCACTGATAACCATTTCATCTGCCATCCTAAAACAGAACAGCCCATCTACATGTTTACTTGTGTGATTTCAACGCTCTCGCTTATCCGGAAGGTATTCGTTGAAGATGGTTTCCTGGTACAAGATGACGTGCTGATTACCAAGGATGTTGTACAAAAGCTGTATGAATCAAATCACCCAGAAATTTCTCAACTGTTGAGTACTACAACACTTGATACCCTGCTGAATGTGAGTATAATGTTTAAGTATTTTGCGGATAAATTTAACTATTTGTAAATCCGGGTTTTTTTTCGTAGGAGTCAGATTTTTCGGACGTTGAATCGCTAGACGACATGGTCTCCAGCAACGTGGTTAAGGCTTTAAAGATATTGTCCGAGGAAGGAGATGAAGCTGTTAATGTATTAGCTACTCTGTTTGAGCTATTTAGTGATTGGTACGATTTGTTGACTACAGGAAGCAAACCTGCCAAGGGGGTAGATGATGTGGTCATTACGCATCAGCAGTATGGAACGAACATTGAAGAGCAAAATATGGTTTTGGACGGAATGTACGACACTATCGAAGCTTTGAAATGTCCCAGCGAACAAAGCTCATGCTTGCAAAAGGCCATATTGGTATCATTGAACTCTATGAAAAAGTTGTTGATTGATCTAAGAAAAAGACATAACTGTGAATCGATACCTACTAGAAACCTTACATTGTACAACTTAAGTCGAATCTTCGATGTTTTCCAAAACATCAACTCTTCCAGCGTACAATCTACCAGTAAAATTCTGTTCCAGCTAGGCATGGCCATCGCGGACGGTGATGCATCATCCATGTCCAATAGGATTATCCAAGAGGCCCATCTACCGTCTGACAAACTAGAATATGACATACCTGATGTCGTTGACGATCCGAGTATTGTAAATATTTCGGAAAAACAGGCATGTTCGCATCTTATCAATTATGTTGCTAATGCACTGCGAGGGAAGTATGAATATCTTGGCGATCAGACCTTTGTTATCGAAAGGAAGGACAATAGCTATGTGGTCATGCCAGAAATGCCTACCGGGATAGTGGAACCATCGCGGCTTTGGATCGAGCAGGCAAGGAAGCTGGAGAACTATGTTTCGGATATTACTTTCTACCGTAATGAAAATGTGATTGAAAATTTAGTTAATTCTATTTCGAGACGTCATCCAAAGATGGGTATCGACATAATTCGTTTGTACGTACAAAGGCGTATCATGATCAAGCTCCACAATTTGAACAAAGAGCTTGAGTATGTTTGAAATAGAATAAAGACTGTAAAACTAATGGGTATACTGATTTTGCAATAAGGTATGTTGATCGAGATGTTGAAGAATGTTCCTTTATTTTTATAAGCTTTCAGGGAAAAATACGGAATAAATCAGTTTTAGTTTGCTAAATCGGTTGATGTCTACCGATTCGATAAAAAAAACATGACACAATCAACCAATTAACCTACAACACATGGAAAACTAATACTCTTTAAAAAAGATTAAACAAAAGAAATCTTTTTAAATGGCCGAAGATATTTCCAAAATATTGTTGGATAATGCAGAGTTAATTGAAACATCTACGTAATCTCATATGAAGGCCAGCAGTAGGGGAAAGTGGGTAAATTTCGTAGCAATATGGTCGACCTACTAAAACTCAACTAATTCGACAGTGAGCATGCATAAGGGCCTATACGCGATGATCGATTCTCTTCGTCGATTTTCTCTTTTGTTAATAACTCGCTAGATTTAACGTTTCTCGGTGCGTTTGCTGTTGCTTTTGATACCCAATACAACCTGTTACTACTCTGCATTGAACAAATTCTAGAAAATTGTTTCGCATAGCTGTAGCAATCGATGAAGAGAATCGATCATCGCGTATTCGCCCTTATGCATGCTCACTGTCGAATTGTATATATCTAGATAGAGCTGGAATTAGGGCGTAACAGCTTTTGTAAACAATGACTTCTCTCGATGATTTCCGGAAAGTCAACGTTCGCCCACGCAAACCAACATAACAATCGAAAAGGGGAAGTCTTCCCTACCTGTCGGTGATGTTGATTTGCATGGGCGAACCTTGACTTTCCGGAAATCATCGAGACAAGTCATTGTTTACAAAAGCTGTTACGCGCTAATTCCAGCTCTATCTAGATATATTTCAAATATCTCTTGTCAGCATACTGCTTGAGGGCCTACTGAAACTGTTCATTTCATTTTAGTCTTTCCACTTTCTACCAATTTGGCGCTAGTATCGATAAATTGTCTGTTGAAAATTACCACTCGGCGCTACCGGCACTTAGTGTCTAGTTGTGCAACGCCAACGCCATCAGGTTGTCAAAGAGGGTTTTTGAGTGGGGAAGTCGCCGTTAGTGGCGCATTAGTCGAATAGGAATCTTTACACTAGTTTATAGACAAATCTTGTTCGAGCCTTAAGTCACAGAGAACAGACGTCCAAGCTCGGTCCGAAACTTGTGTAAAGTTAAGTGGAAACGATGCCGTTACGTAGCGCTAGCATCTCCTGATTTCCTCTATAATTTTATCACTTTCAACCAATTTGGCGCTAGTATCGATAAATTATCTGTTGAAAATTGCCACTTGGCGCTACCAGCACTTAGTGTCTAGTGTAAGTTTTGCAACGCCAGCGCCATCATGTTGTCAAAGAGGGTTTTTAAGTGGGGAAGTCGCCATTAGTGGCGCTTAAGTCGAATAGGAATCTTTAAACTAAGAGAAATTTGTTTGAGCCTCAACGTCTGTTCTCTCTTCTCTGTGCTGTAACCGAAAACGAAATTGAAATTCTCGATTACTTTTTCGAAGGGACGTATCAGCTTTTGTAAACAATGGATTTGATCGTCGCTTGCCGTAACTGATAGCTCGCCCACGCCCACGGGGGAAATTTCCCTATCTGGTGGTAGTGTTAGCACAGAGAACAGACGTTGAAGCTCGGTCAGAAACTTGTGTAAAATAAGTGGGAACGTCGCCGTTACGTGGTGTTAGCATCTCCTGATTTTCTCTCTAAATTTTCCACTTTCGACCAATTTGGCGCTAGTATCGATAAATTTTTCTGTTGAAAATTGCCACTTGGCGCTACTAGCACTTAGTGTCTAGTGTAATTTGTGCAACGCCAGCGCCATCATGTTGTCAAAGAGGATTTTTAAGTGGGGAAGTCGCCGTTAATGGCGCAGAAGTCAAATAGGAATCCTTACACAAGTTTTTAGAGAAATTTTGTTCCAGCCTCCATGTCTGTTCTCTGTGGTGTTAGTATGCGTGGATGAGCTACTAGTTACGCCAAATCGACGATCAAATGCATTATTTACAGAAGCTGATACGTCCCGTTGTAAAAGTAGTCGAGAATTATTCTTGGAAGTAAGTAAACAGTTTTTAAAGAGTCAAACGAGCACATATCAAGAGCAAATTTTCATTATGTTGTAAGTAACATTCGCACCGATCCAAGAAAAATAAAGTTTTGTTTTGATGACCGAAAAGTTATTCCTATTTTCAATTAAACACAATCTCATAGTGATAGCAATGTTTAACATATTTAGCCGGGTTTTAATCATACAAATGCAAATCGCTAGCTTTCATGCTAAAAAATACTGGTTTTTTAGTCAAAAGTAATTATACGTCGTTTGGTGGCCCCTATTGTTACTTAAGTCAAAGTGCATTTACCAGGATATTCGGGAGAATTATCAATTACGTCTCCTTACGTGCAGCCCATTTATCATTTTAGGACCACCGAAATCATCTTAGCAACAAACAGTTTGATTTATTCACTTTAATAATGAGAAAGCGAAACGACGAACGTACACTTTTCACTGGTTTCTCTGCGCTGTTACTTAAGGCAAACGGCATCTCCATAGAAATCGGGTGACTTAAGTAACATCGAAAACTATTTTGATCGGAAGGTGATTACGTCAAAAAGCAATTTGACTGGTAAATAATTTTAAAAATGGGATGTGATCCTATATTCGGACAGTATATAGTGTAATAGCAGGAGCATCGATTGACACTGATAGCTCGACTTTGTTTACCTTTGTTACATTCGACGTAATGAAAATTTGCTCTTGATATCAATTGATTTTTAACTGTTGTTAAACTGTTGTTTAACTGGTTAACTGTTGCAAGTATCACATAGTTGGGGAATGCCGTTTGGCATAAATTAACTTGGCATAATGGACATTTGGCATAACTTTCAAAAACTCTTCCAGCTTCAAAAATAACATTGAATTATCCTACGCACTTCCACCATTCCACTACAGCCTTTTAAAAATGTTGTTATACCAATTGAAAGCCGTGTTTCAGTCTTATATTGCAAGGATTCTTATCGGGTTATTAAAGTGCTTGGGGCGTTTATTCATTATTTTTCATCGTACTCCCGATTTTCACCGTACTCCCACCGTGAGATTAAGCTAACTCTGTTCCGCTTCTGTTTATGTGCTTGTCATTCACTTCCCCAGTACGTCAATACATGGTTTGGAAACGATGCATTATATGTAATAACCCATACAGCAATGAATGAATTCAAATTAATAAAAAGAAATCAAAGAATGTCGGCCACCGTTTTCGACTGATTGGCAGGGGGCAGCAACAAAGAACTACGAGTCTGGAGTCATCTTTTCTTGTTTGGTATGGCTGTGGTGTCAGTGTTATCATCGGAGCAGCACAACTGAGTTTAAATTTAGAACAGCTTTTTTCTCTTCGGTTATCATTCGATGTGACAAATGATAAGCACATTAACGCTGTGAGGATTTTCTTGTTTACAGACTCCCTTGAAATCAGCTCCGTGCTAATAACAAAGTCAAGCTTAAATTTGTTGATAAAATTTTCGTGTTATAAAGACGCGAAACCAATCTGTTCAAATATTCTGTGACTGGACGTTCTTCGGTGCGCTTGCTATTTAATCTTGCTAATCGGTCGGATGTGGTGTTTTTAATTAGTTGATTGTGATTTGTTTGACTGCTACCACAATTATCAAAAATGGCGAAAGTGATGACAGGTTTGCAACGAAATAAGCTCATTTTTGCGAATATACTGAAATTTGTCGTTTCTAGTCCGAGGCCCGGTAGATCCTTTGACGCTGGGGTTTACATTAACGCATGAACATTTGTCGTTGGACTTTCATCATTTTTACGTTGCACCCCCTCCAGGACTGGAGGTTTATGTCAATAAAAAGATCACGCTACAGAACGTAGGATACGTTCGTCAGTATCCGTACAGCTCTGCGTACAATGTCAATTTCGAAGACGATGAAACTCATGATGCTGTGCTAAAAGATGTAATGCAGTACAAAGCTTGTGGCGGAAGTGAGTCTTTTGCGAGCGTATATAATAGATTAAATTCTAAACGTTTAATATTTTTTAGGCGCAATTGTTGAAAACACATCGCATGGAATCAATCGTAATTTGAAACTTCTTTACAATATTTCGGAAGCGTGTAATGTGCATATAGTCGCCGGAACAGGACATTACGTCCAAATGGTCCAACCGGACTCCGTTACACATATGACGATCGAAGAGTTGGGTGATCTGTATACAAAGGAAATTCTATTTGGGATACAAGTTGAAACCAATGCTCATGAAACCAATATGATAAAATGTGGAATTATAGGCGAAGTTGGCAGCTCATGGCCGATCACCTCGTTCGAGAAAAAAGCAATTCAAGCAACAGCAGAAACTCAAAGCGTTCTCAACTGTCCAGTAACCTTCCATCCGGGACGAGATAAAGATGCACCGGCTGAGATTATTCGTTTATACTTGGAAGCAGGAGGAAAGGCAGACAAATGTGTTATGTCTCATTTGGGTAATGTACATTTTTGAAATGAAGTTAACTTTGGATGTTGTATTTTCTACATTCTATCTGCAGATCGTACAATATTTGATTTTGAAGACCTGTTGGAATTTGCAAAGCTTGGAACGTATTGTCAGTTTGATCTATTTGGAACAGAATGTTCATACTATCAGTTCAACAATCTAGCATACATGCCATCGGATGAGCAACGTATTGAAAGCATCGTGCATCTGCTGAATGAAGGCTATGAAGATCGTATTCTGCTGTCACATGATATTCACACCAAGCATCGACTGGTAAGAAATTGTTTTTATGTTGCCCATAATACTTTATATGTTATTGGTGCAAAGGGTGTAACATTAGTTTATGTTTGAAATTTCCGGAAAAATGTTCTTTTTAGCTTGTTTTTATCCAGGCAGTCAGGCACACAGGCACATGACACCCACGCGACTAACAAAGGGCTAATGGTCATGTGAATATTTTATGTTTCCTTGAGATGCTTCCTACAAGATAGCACGAACTAAACTCAATTGATAACTGTTTTGTAAACAACAACAAATATGGGAAATCGCTAAAAAAGCACGAGACAGTCCATTCATAGATTCACACTTCTTCTTTTTTCGTCTTCTATTCGTTCGAAAATAAATAATATATTGGTATCAGTATCAGCATTGATCACCTGCCAGACCTGCGTTTCACCGAACATAATACGTAAATTCCAGTTGTGGAAGGAGTTTGTGACTAATGAGCTTTTTTCATCTAATATCTACTTTCAGACCCATTTTGGTGGACATGGCTACTCCCACATATTGAACAACATTCTAATGCGTTTTGCTTTGCGAGGAATCGATATTAAAACAGTCGACAACATAACCATCAAGAACCCCGCCAAGTGGTTGGAAATGAAAATTTGAGAGAGTAAACAAGCAGAAGAATAATTGTTGATTTGCGTGTTAATGAATTGGTTTTCACCCCTTCCGATCATTAAAATGGTTTACCTATGTAGGAGAAAAGTAATGATATATGGCAGCTATATTCAGTAGTATACATTTTTAAGCAACTTAGAATCGAGATAAACTTGACTTAAACAAAAAACAAGCAAAAATTAGCTATGGCGAAGTAATAGTACTCGGTAAGTTATACTGAATGAAATGGATAACGAAAATTTCGAATAATTTAAGCATAAGGTAAATTTTGTCACTTGTAGGTGAGCATCAAAAGTCCTTTAAATAAACGTGTTAAGAATAACACTAACTTTCTTTACTTTCTGGAAGGTATAAAAGGAACGGACATTACAGTGACACATCAGTAGCGAAGTAACAAAGTGCTTGGTATATTTTTACAACTTCCGCCAGAAGGTATAAGCAGAAGGAGATTTTACAAAATTAACCAAATATATTGTTTATGTGCTAACATTTATTTGCTTTAATTGTTACCTTGGTATAAGTGAAACGTGATCATTTTACATGTCTTTGTTTCGAGTGGTCGGCAAGCATCTCGGTAAAAAATAAGTTTAACAGTGGGCTAGTGGGTTTGTCGGAGTTAAAAGTTGGTCACTTTCCTTACGTGGTTCTGGATCTCCAGTTTTAGTTCTATTTGTGCTGCAAAACAGTTTTGTGATTCTTTGAGATATATTTTACAAATTGTGCACACTGCATCCAGTTCCAGGAAACTCTGATTATTCGGACACAAATATCCGGTCATCCGGATAAGAATATTGGAATGAATATAGGGACTATAATAAAACTTAACTTATTACTCTGTTTGTATTTATTTAAGGGGGTTAGTGTCGTTAAAGTTGATTTTAGTTGATTAAATGCGTCTTCTTTAAAAAAAAAATGACGATTAGGGTGGTCCTCATTTTAAATTAAATCAGGAATCTAACTTTTTGTTTTTAGTTATAAGTGGTTACATTCATCAGCAAAGTTGTCGAACAAAAAAATTCAAGCAGCTTTGCTGAAGGCACAATTTATGTAGCTTTTCATTTGACCATGCTAGAATTATTTTTATGCTTTATTTTTTTATACTTTATTAGAGTGATTTTTGCCACTTCTGGGCTAGTTCATCACCATCTGCTTTATAATAGGGGCACCAAAAATAGTTTTTAATTTTAATTTTTTTTTTGTTTCAAATGTTTCGAAAAAGGTCTTCAGAAGAGTTGGCGTACATTTTTGCTGAAAAAAGTATTTGGTTATACCTTAACATTCAAAAGTTATGGGTAATTTTAACCCACAAATCATGCAGTCTTTAAATTCAGTATCTCAAGTACTTGAATGGATAATTTTATGCTTGATACAGCATCTGAAGGCCACAGTTTTTAATTGAGGGCTTTCGATGCCTGTACCATTTTTCCATTAGTATATTTGTGGGACAAGTACAATCATACTCTATGCCCAGACCTAACCGGGAATCGAAAACAGTCACCTCCAGCATGGTCTTGCTTTGTAGCTGCGGCTATACCAACTGAGCTAAGGGAGGTTATTTATTGTTATTGTTGTTGTTTTATGAGCATTAGAGTGATGCAAAATTTGAAATTTTCGCTTCATAGTGCTCAAACCGCTTAAAATCTGATTAACCGCCCAAAATTTTAACTCATTTGGTAAGAAACTGACTTGTCACAAACCATTTGAAGTTTATATGGAAATTACTATGGCAAAAACAAACTTTTTGTTCTAGCCTTTTTCCATATTGTTGTACTGAACATAGTTTTGAGCCATACGTTTAATTGAATAGTAATTATTTTTTTAAGAGATTGATAACACTAGTTTACAGTATATTTGAACTTTGTACGCTGATGGTTATTTCTCATGTAAAATTGTGCGCTGAATCCAAAAATGCAGTCAAAAAAATCTCATTAGGATAGTTTTCGAAAATGAAATTTCACTTTAAAAAAAAATGTCTGTATGAAGCTTTAATAATTATTTTAACGTCAAATTTATGGTTACTGCGATAGATTTTTTGCATTGTAACAGTAGATTGTATTATTTTTGTATGGTAAATTTTTATTCGGGTTTTGCTACCCTCTCCACCACCAGCTGAGTCCGGGCTGACAAGAATCTATGACAAAAGGTCAAAAGACAAAAGGTCAAAAGACAAAAGGTCAAAAGACAAAAGGGCGAAAAACAAAAGGTTGAGGTCTAAAAGATCAAAATGTACAAAAGGCTGAAAAGGACAAATGGTTGTTCAGTTCGACCTTTTGTAAATTCAATCTTTTGTCCATTTCGACCTTTTATACATTTTGACTTTTTATCCATTTTGACCTTTTGTCTTTCGACGTTGTGCCTTTAGATATTTTGCTATTCGACCTTGCCTTTCGACCTTTTGCCTTTCGACCTTTTGCCTTTCGACCTTTTACCTCTCGACCTTTTGCCTTTCGACCTTTTGTCTTTCGACCTTTTTTCTACAACTATGCCATGCAAATGTGTATAATTGTAGTGCAAATAGTTCTTATCACATCATATTACCGGCATATTCCTATGGCACACGTTTTAAAAGAAGTTTTAATCAGATCCTTACTCATTAAAGTGAGTTAGACTTGGGGGTAAGGTTCCACTCTAATTCGTTGTATGGTGCTCATTTCCGACATTTCCGACATTTCCGTCATACGCTTCACGAAAAATAAAACAAATCACAAGTAAAACTAGAAATAGCGCAAAAGTATTTGAACTGGGTCTAAAAATAATTCTATGGTGATATGATATATACATACGATAGATGATGACATGATACGAAGAGAGCAATATACGCATATCAAGCAAAGTAGATCGAAGTGGCGCATAGCCCTATCAATGAAGATTGAGATTGATTACTAAATGTTTAATAAACTGATTACGATAAAAAATTGTGTTACGCTGATGCAACATTGCAGCAAACCGATTGATTCTCGTTTGTCAGCGAACAAATTGATATACAAGCGTCGTTGACTAAGTAATTCAGATAGTCCCTCTGCGGTCAGTAAAGACACGGACATGTCAGAAAGGGTGGGTTTGTTTTCAGGTCCGGTTAAGGATTTTTTATAGCATAGATTTTGTCCTCCATTCCCCTAGTGTCATACTTTTGTGCATATTAAATACTTTGCGTACTGTAATCTGTTGTAGGACTTCCTTCGCTTCAAAGACTCCATAGAAACTTTGATTTAAATCGATTCTGATTTTTCATCCAATAGAATGTCTGAAACTGGAATAACTCCCGCACAACAAAATGTGCTTGTTGATGCCTGGAAATTAGTTAAACCGGACATTGTGACTCATGGTACAAACATTTTTTTGCGGTAAGTATTAAAAATTAATTGACATAACTGTAATACACAGTGGTTCTCAAACGTTGAGTGGTTCCAAATATATAAATATAGTTCACTCTTTTGTTTTTCCGGAGACGCGATTTTCGGCCAACAAGCGCGTCTTTGCGCCAGGTCGAGCATTACGAAGGATGCTTCAAAGCTGCAACAAAGATTTAAATCAAAACTTGTTCAAACAATTACTTTCGTGTTCCTACAGGCTTAAGAAATGTTCCAAACTTTTCCCCTGATTGTTATTAATGTAGTTACATTATTTTTTCGAGTGTAATTCGACTGTTTTATTGTTTAAAGGTTCTTCGAAAAGAATCCAGAATATTTGGGATATTTCGATTTTTCCATGGATTATGAGGCAAAGGAGTTGAAAGATAACAGATCCCTGCATGCTCACGCATTGAATGTGATGAACTTTTTTGGTAAGTAAAGCACAGCTTTGAAGTTTTTAATTTTTTTACTGTATATTTGAAGTTAATAAAAAACCTTGCTTAGATAGCGAATAATACTTTTTATTTCAAATCGGGGAATTTTAGGAGCCCTTATTGAGTATGGACTGGATCATCCCATGATGTATAAAAGCAGCCTTTCAAAAATGGTCAAAAATCACAAAAGACATGGAGTGGCCAAACCAGATGTTGAGGTGATACTACCTATAATTTTAATATTCTGTTGATTAGCTATCTTTATTTGCTTTCCATGTTAATAGTTTCGCTGGTGTACGGGTAAACTACGGGCAATAAAGTGTGTCGGTTAATCATATATACACTTCTATTTTAGGTCGTTTGTGGAATAATCAAGGAATACTGCTTGCAGACTTTGGGACACTCAGGTGAACTGGAAGATGCTTTTACAGCTCTTTTGGATAGTGTTGCCAATTCATTCGATTAAATTCATGATTAGTATGCAGCTATCAGTCGTGTGTAGTTAGCTACTGTGGTAAACAGTTGGTGGAGAGTATTATGCCAATTGACACCAGGCATTGTGAGTTCTTTAGCCTAGACAAAGCAGAGCGTAGAATAAAAATAATAGTTCCAAAAGTATGTTCATCTGAGTTTCACTATACATTGATACAATCCCACAAAAAAAAAACATTTCACAAAAAGCAGTGTTTCCACATTTTTTTCCCTATTTTAATATGTATTTTTTTAAATCTGTATATATCTTTTAATCTGTAGCTGGCTGAAAAAAAACTGTAAAATAATCTGCATAATTTCTATATTACGATCTTAGTCAATCTCCTTTGAGTTCGTTCGAAGTTCAGAAATAGTTTGTTCAAAGTTTAGAAGCTTGAAAATTTATTTAAGTTTGGTTTCTAAAGAATTGGCCTTTTAACCTCGAAATCCTGAATCTTGATTTTGATTAGTGATTTGTATCTTTTCTACAAGTCTAAAAATACAAAAAAAAATCAAGTCCCAGTAGTGAAATACAATCCTGAAAATTTCTTTAATGAAGTAACAATCTCATTTACCTAGAATTTGAATTTTTATGCTCGAGATTACGGAAATCTTTGTCTGGTCAATTGTTTTTTAACTCAACAATTGAGACATTGAAAAATCGAACATTAAAATTCTATGCAGTATTACCTACTTGTTAAATTTTAATTTCCTCAAATTCTTCTAATCAAACCAAATTTCAACTTTATCTAAGCATTTGGCAGCTAGAAAGGATATTGTATTCGCTTGTTGTTGCTCGAACCTATGTGTACTCTGTATTTTTTGTTAGTAAATACCTGTAAAACACTTTGGGATAGTTCCATCTGTATTTTCTCTATGTCCAATCGTGTTCTTCTGTTTTATCATCTTCATTGTATTTTGTCACATCACAAAACTAAACATCCAACTCGATTTGCGTTTTTATTTTCCTCTGTTCGGGACCTACACACTTAGATTTGGGCACCACCGAGCAGCTCGGCATTTTATTTTGCTGGATCTCAGTGAAAAACTTGCCGAGATTCAGCTAACAAACGGGAATTTTGCCGAGATCTCAGCTAACAAACATATTTTTTACTGAATTTCCAGCAAAATAAAATGCCGAGCTGCTCGGTGGTGCCCATCTCGGCAAAAAAATCTAAGTGTGTAGCACCACTGCGACCAGTAATTTGATCTATTGTAGTATATCCGGTCTCCTTAGTTTAGTGCATGTCATATTACTCCATCACTACAAAATGGTGAGTTGACAACCTGGAAGGAGCGGAATACCTAGCCCTGGTCCTCACAAGTTCCTACTTCACGCCTCCTCGAGTCATATGATAACAAAAGACTACCAGCTGAAACATGGACACAGCTGGTTGGCGTAGCCTGGGCAATGTTGCCAGTCCGGCAATAGCAAAGTGAAGAGGTGCGACGCGAACACTGGCGCGGTAACCATAGTACGGTGATAGAGGAAATGCTTCACCAAACCTGAGCGTCTGCTCACCATGGAGGTGCGGCTCAAAACGGCGTCTGTTCTCCATGTTAGGAGCGGCTGATCACCGTCCTAGTGCCAGCGTGGGACTCTAAACAGAGCTGTGCACGATGGTCCCCCGGCGAGACAGGGGGTTGGGGCAGGCCCAACAAGCCGCCCTGGAAAAAAAACAAAGTTGCAAATACCGAAGAAAGAAATACGGATCGGAACAATCGGCACGGACCTACGCGACGAAATAAGGACTACGATTGGAAACTCGGAACATGGAACTGCAAATCGCTCGGCTTCCCGGGTTGCGATAGGTTAATCTATGACGAACTTCAACAACGCAACTTCGAAGTCGTAGCACTGCAGGAACTTTGCTGGACGGGACAAAAGGTATGGAAAAGCGGGCATCGAGCGGCTACTTTCTACCAGAGCTGTGGCACCACCAACGAGCTGGGAACCGGCTTTGTAGTGCTGGGTAAGATGCGCCAACGCGTGATTGGTTGGCAGCCGATCAACGCGAGGATGTGCAAGTTGAGGATTAAGGGCCGTTTCTTCAACTACAGCATCATCAACGTGCACTGCCCACACGAAGGGAGACCCGACGACGAGAAAGAAGCGTTCTATGCGCAGCTGGAGCAGGTGTACGACGGCTGTTCGCAACGGGACGTCAAAATCGTCATCGGCGACATGAACGCTCAGGTAGGACGGGAGGCAATGTATAGACCGGCAATCGGGCCAAACAGCCTGCATGCCGTATCGAACGACAACGGCCAACGATGCGTGAACTTTGCAGCCTCCCGGGGTATGGTAGTTCGAAGTACCTTTTTCCCCCGCAAGGATATCCACAAAGCCACCTGGAGATCACCTGACCAACACACAGAAAACCAAATCGATCACGTTCTAATCGACGGGAAATTCTTCTCCGACATTATCAACGTCCGCACGTACCGCAGTGCGAACATAGATTCGGACCACTACCTAGTTGCAGTATGCATGCGCTCAAAACTCTCGACGGTGCATAACACACGTCGAAGTCGAACGCCACGACCCAACATTGAGCAACTACGGGACACCGGAGTTGCCCAGGACTACGCGCAGCAGCTGGAAGTTGCACTACCCACGGAAGAGCAGCTTGGCGCAGCTTCTCTTGAAGATGGCTGGAGGGACATCCGTTCAGCCATAGGTAGTAGTGCTGTAGCGGCACTAGGTACTGCAATCCCGGACCGAAGAAATGACTGGTTTGACGGCGAATGCAAACTGTTAGTAGAGGAGAAGAATGCAGCACGGGCGAGAATGCTGCAACACCGCACGAGATTGAATGTGGAGCGATACAGACAAGCGCGGAACAGACAAAACTCGGTTTTCCGAAGGAAGAAGCGTCAGCAGGAAGATCAAGATCGCGAGGCGATGGAAAATCTGTACCGCGTAAACGACACACGGAAGTTCTACGAGAAGCTAAATAGTTCGCGCAAAGGCTACGTGCCGCAAGCCGATATGTGCAAGGACTTGGACGGTAACCTTCTCACGAACGAGGGTGAGGTGATTGAGAGGTGGAAGCAGTACTATGACGAGCACCTCAACGGTGAAGCAGCAGAAAACGAAGGTGGCACGGCAACAGACCTTGGAGCACGCGCAGAAGACGACAGGCTACCGGCCCCTGATCTTCAAGACGTTGAGGAGGAGATCGGTCGGCTGAAGAACAACAAAGCAACTGGTGTAGATCAACTACCAAGTGAGCTATTGAAATACGGTGGTGAAGTACTGGCTAGAGCGCTGCACTGGGTAATTGCCAAGATTTGGGAGGAGATATTACCGGAGGAGTGGATGGAAGGTGTCGTATGCCCAATCTACAAAAAGGGCGACAAGTTGGATTGCTGCAACTACCGCGCGATCACACTGCTGAGCGCCGCCTACAAGGTACTCTCCCAAATTCTATGCCGCCGTCTGTCACCATATGCAAGAGAGTTCGTGGGGCAATACCAGGCGGGATTCATGGGTGCCCGCGCTACCACGGACCAAATTTTCGCGATTCGGCAGGTTCTGCAGAAATGCCGCGAATACAACGTGCCCACACATCATTTGTTCATCGATTTCAAATCCGCATACGACACAATCGATCGAGATCAGCTATGGCAGATTATGCACGAGTACGGATTTCCGGATAAACTGACGCGATTGGTCAAGGCGACAATGGATCGAGTGACGTGCGTTGTTCGAGTATCGGGGACACTCTCGAGTCCCTTTGAATCTCGAAGGGGGTTACGGCAGGGTGATGGACTTTCGTGTCTGCTGTTCAACATCGCGTTAGAAGGTGTGATCAGAAGAGCTGGGATAGACACGAGTGGCACGATATTCAGGAAGTCCATCCAGCTCCTTGGTTTCGCCGATGACATTGACATTATGGCACGGAACTTTGAGATGATGGCGGAAACGTACATCAGACTGAAGGCTCTTTAAGAGTCAAGAAAGGAGAAGATGAACTACCCAACAAACAATTTGAGCTGATTAATAGCTGAACAAGCCATTTTTTAGTTGAAGAAGCTTATTTTTGGCTGAATAAGCTATTATACAACTGTCAATGTTTGTTGGGAAGCCATAGGCTAAAAATCTCCTTAATAAAGAACTAAAAAAAATTTCAAGAAAGTTTCCATCAGCTTTCATTTGACAGAAAAAAAAAATTGAATTTTACTGGTCATGTAAACATTCATGCATGTAATCTTCCTTATCACGTAAACTAGTAACTTGCAAGAAATATTGTTTACAAAGATGGAAAGTTGCATACAATATATGGAATATTTCAGGACATGTCTCATAAATTTACACGATCTATAATGTAAAATTGTATGATATATGACACTCCTTTTATGTGCTTCATATTAATGGAAATTCTACACTACTTTGCTTTACTGTGTACATAGATCATATTTCCCGAGAATGGTTTCCTGGTTCGTGTACTTTATTAGCAGTGAAATTGTATATTTAGCATGCCCTTTTAAGCTTAATTTTCCCAGGAAATTGAACTAGCCTCCCCCTCGCAGAAAGAAACCCAGGCTGCGCCGTTGAGTAACACCTATCGTGTTTTCATTGACAGTGTTGCTCGAAACCACCTTGGCATAGGTTGTGAAGGCAGTTTGATTTGAATTCGCTCTTCTCTTATCATAGACCCTTTACTTCTTCCTCATATAATTTGTTAGACAAACTTTAGTTAAGGCTATCAATTTTCAAAAATTTGCTTTATATCGTTATGTTGGTAATTCAACCGTTTTGAGTCCTTCAATTTAAAGCTGAAATGGCCACATTGTCCATAAATTATAAATGTTGTCCATTACCGGTATTAAAGTGTTAAATACCAAAAAAACAGGTTTTTGAAAAATAAACCCGGTAATGACAACTCTAAATAATAGCACTTTGACTTATCAAATTTTCAGAAGGCAAGGGATGCCAAAGTTCTCTAGAAATATTGCCATAATATTCTTTCCTGAGAGGAGCTATATTACTGGAGTGAAGCTTGGAGTTGAATCAGTCACGACCCCTTTCTAATTTTCCTAGGAACAAAGAAATTGATATCTCTTTAGAGATACCTCGCATACTAATGAA